TAAGCCTTGTTGAAATAATAACAAATAAACTATATTGTCCAATGACTAGTCTCTTTTATTATTTTAGGTAACTCAGAGTGATGCTCCATGTGTTTTTTAAATGTCATAATTATGTCTAGCCACTTTTATCTGGTGAATAGTGTCTTTACACTGAAAACACAGGGGGAACATATCTTCAAAGATACACTAAGATACACTTTTTTTCTTTTTTTTTTACAAAACTACACAACTTCAAGATGTTCTGGTCTTTTTAATGTTAACCGTGAGTGCACAAGTTTAAACAATGGGAAATCACAATCAAAAATAAATTAATCACTTTTTAAAAATACAATAGTGTAATACAGTACAACAGAAAAGCAATTTTTGAACCATACAAACTAAAATATACACTCTTAGAAACACAAAAAAGTCAATACAAGTGCAATTTTGAAAACCAAGCAAAAACTATTTACAAAATTTTCATAATATACTGACTCAGATAATACGCGCTGGGCAATAATATTCTTTATTGACTGGTGGGTTGCCAACACATGACAACACATGTCACATCCATCACAGGTAATCTGAAAGATCATACAATATGTTAAATAACCATAATTGTCTCAAAATTAGATTAAAATAATCTGTAACAACTGCCAATTTAGCAATTCGCCGGGGCGAAATCATGACGTCACGATTTTCGTACTGAAGCTGCGCATGCGCTGTGAGGGGGAAACAGGGGAACTGAATTCACCGGAACACCGGGTTGCATGAAGGTAAAGTCAGTGGTACGAATTTAAGAATGAACCGCTCGTTTTGAAATCTACTCTGATCCGCTTCAAACTTTACAAAGCTCGTGATAACGTTCGTTAACTTTATAATGAATAAATCCACTTCACCAGCTAATTAGCCTACTCTTCAACAGCGATGCCATAGAAATATGTACAGAGCGAAAACGAAAGTTCCAACAGAATTCTAAAGATGGCTGCGCACTTGTTTCTCTGATCTGACGCAGCAGTTACTGAATGATAGAAACGATGTGAGATTAAACGCCAGGTAATGCATGATCTCTGCATCTCATATGTAGCCTACTACTGTGTGTCAATTGTTAAAGTCCCTTTAAGACTAATGGCAAATTTTTTTTACTAGGAAATTTTTGATGCACAAAGTTGTTTTTAATATCTCTTGTAACAAAAATCTTTTATTTAAAGGGATAGTTCACCCAAAAATTAAAATTAGCCCATGATTTACTCAACCTCAAGCCATCCTAGGTGTGTTTGACTTTATTCTTTCAGACGAATCCAACCGGAGTTATACTAAAAAATATCCTGGCTCTTCCAAGCTTTATAATGGCAGTGAATGGGTGTTATTTTTTAATAGTCCAAAAGAAGTCCAATAAAGAGCATCCATCCCTCATAAAAGGTGCCTCACGCGGCTCCTGGGGTGAATAAAGGCCGCCTGAAGCGAATAGATGCGTTTTTGTAAGAAACATATCCATATTTAAAACGTTATAAACCGTAATCTCTATCTTCCGCTAGCTGTCGTACGCGCGTTCATTCCGGCGGATGACGTAGGCGTAGTGTAAGCTCCGGTGAGAATATGCTAGTCTCATGATAACCATTGTGTTTGACTTTATTCTTTCAGACGAATCCAACCGGAGTTATACTAAAAAATATCCTGGCTCTTCCAAGCTTTATAATGGCAGTGAATGGGTGTTATTTTTTAATAGTCCAAAAGAAGTCCAATAAAGAGCATCCATCCCTCATAAAAGGTGCCTCACGCGGCTCCTGGGGTGAATAAAGGCCGCCTGAAGCGAATAGATGCGTTTTTGTAAGAAACATATCCATATTTAAAACGTTATAAACCGTAATCTCTATCTTCCGCTAGCTGTCGTACGCGCGTTCATTCCGGCGGATGACGTAGGCGTAGTGTAAGCTCCGGTGAGAATATGCTAGTCTCGCGAGAACCGACGTTTGATTTTTTTTAAATAAAAAAAGATAAATAGATAAAGTATATGGTTAAGGAATCAGCTGCTGGGATTGAGTTGAGCAGGTCATTCCACCAGGAGGGAACAGTTAATGAAAAAGTCCTTGAAAGTGATTTTGTGCCTCTTTGGGATGGTTCACTGAAAAAGTCCTTGAAAGTGATTTTGTGCATCTTTGAGATGAACAATAAAGCGTCGTTCACTTGCAGAACGCAAGCTTCTAGAGGCACATAACTCTGAAGTAATGAATTTAGGTAAAGGTGTGGAGAGCCAGTGGTGGTTTTGTAGGCAAACATCAATACCTTGAATTTTATGCGAGCAGCTACTGGTAGCCAGTGCAAATTGAATTTGTATACTTATTTATATATTTATATGAATATGTATTTATATATTGTAAATTTGCTAAATTGCCGTTTTGGAGAGTATCCACTGAATGCAAACAGTTCAGCTGCGCCACACAGATACGTTTTCTACATTGTTTGTGCTTTGATTTGAACGAAAACAACGTATCCGTGTGGCGCAGCTGACACAGAACAACATACGCTGTTTACGTCCAGCAGATACTCTCCAAAATGGCGCTAGGGTGACGCGGAGGAGACGAATTGTTGAATAAAGTCGTTTTTGTTTTGTTTTTTCGCACAAAATATTCTCGTAGCTTCGCAAAATTACGGGTGAACCCCTGATGTCACATGGATTATTTTACTGATCTCCTTGCTATGTTCCTGGACATTGATCGTGTAAGGACCCTTGCTGTCTATGGGAGGGTCAGATCTCGGATTCAATCAAAAATATCTTAATTTGTGTTCCAAAGATGAACGGAGGTCTTACGGGTTTGAAACGACATGAGGGTGAGTAATTAATGACAGAATTTTCGTTTTTGGGTGAACTATCCCTTTAAGTGTAAAGATAATTGCATATATATTTGAACTTGAAACGCAATGTAATAGACTAAATAATTTGTGTGTTTTTTTTTAAATTCTCAAATGAGCTTATTTAGAGTTTTCAAGAGGTCCATTTTTATTATTCACTTCCTGTGACCAGCAGAAAGTGACTGCAGTTCTGGAAATCAGCTGTGCTTTATATGTAGTGCCTGTGCCTCATTTTGAGCTCCATTTTAGATGCCCTGACATACCAAGGAGAGAGAAGAGGAGTGCACTGCCTCTAAAATGAGCCGCTGTGAGGAGAGAGAGGAGGAGGATGCTGTTCAGACCCAGACAGCAGCATCTCCAGACTCTAGCTGTGTGTCTGTGAAGAGTGACGGCTCCATGGCCAAACCTCCTGGCTTTAGTGATGGAGCGGGAGTCTCTAATTCCAGGTAAGATATGTCTTTATCCAAAAGCATTAAGTGCATGATGAAGCAGAATGCAGTTGCAATGCCCCTATAATTCAAGTTATGAAAGCAAAACGATCCCTGTGTGGGTTTTTGTTGTTTATATTTATAAGATACAATGTAGCAGTGAAGTAATAGCACACAAGCAGGAATGCAGTTTAATTTATAAACCAAAAACTGTCATTCAGATTTTTTTTGGGGTGATATCGCTAAGTCATGTTTATGGCTGCGCTACCTGTAAGTTCTGTTAGTCTCTTAATATAATATTTGATCAGAAACAGCTTTATTTCATTTGAATATTTCCAGACCCCACACTCAGACAGCAGCATCTCCAGTTTCTAGCTGTGTGTCAATGAAGAGTGACGGCTCCATGGCCAAACCTCCTGGCTTTAGTGATGGAGCGGGAACCTCTGATTCGAGGTAAGACTAGGGCTGTGAATATAATATAATAGTAATAATAATAATAATGGCACAGTTTTCTGTGATTAATCATTAATTAATCAATTAATTGTGATAATCAGGACTCAAAAAAACTAAGATAGCTGCTCTATTTTCCGCTTTAGACAAAATAAAAGCCAGTTAGCATGTTCTTATTTTTTATTTTATTTATTTTATTAATTTGGGATGTCGGTGTTTCATACGGAAGAGGATTAGGGCCAAGCAATAATAAAAAAAATTAAACCTTCTCGAGATTAAACTCATTTCAACAAATTTCATTTCAACAAATTTCAAGAAAATGTTGAAATAAAATGTTGAGAATTAAATAATAAAATTTCGAGAATAAAGTCGTGTTTCGAGAAAAAACTCGTTAAATTTCGAGAAAAAAAGTCAAAATAAAATGTTGAGAATAAACTCATTATATTACGAGAAAAAAGTCGTTGTGTTTCGAGAAAAAAAAATTGGCTCAATTTTGAGAAAAAAGTTGAAATAAAATGTTGAGAATAAACTCATTAAATTATGAGAAAAAAAGTCGAAATAAAATGCTGAGAATAAACTCATTAAATTACGAGAAAAAATTTGTTTCGAGAAAAAAATCGTTAAATTTTGAGAAAAAAAGTCGAAATAAAATGTTGAGAATAAACTCATTATATTACGAGAAAAAAGTTGTTGTGTTTCTAGAAAAAAAAATTGGTTCAATTTTGAGAAAAAAGTTTAAATAAAATGTTGAGAATAAACTCATTAAATTATGAGAAAAAAAGTCGAAATAAAATGCTGAGAATAAACACTCGTGTAATGTTCATTTTCTCTCATTCTTCTTCCTGTTTTCATCTCATATCACATCGGAAAAATATAAATCAATTGCCTAACGAGTGTTTAATAATGATGTATTAATTGGGTAGGTTTAGGTGTAGGTAGGCTTTGTACCAATAAGGCAGCGTGTATTTAATAATTTTAATTAATAAAATCATTTACACTCTGTTATTATTGTATCCTGTTAATGTACAACAATACTGAGGTGCAAATAGTATCTGTCACTATTTATAAGTATAAATAGCATCTAATTACTATTTACACTTATTGCAAAGATCTGCTGCTTTTACATAGCGTAAATAGAAGCGCTATTTTCACTTACTGTAAATATCTATAAATAGCACATCGCTAAAAATTCTGCTGCTGTCACTTAGTGTAAATATATCACCATTTTCACTTAGTGTAAATAGAATATATCACCATTTTCACTTAGTGTAAATAGCATCCGATGTGTTTGTTATGTGATGAAAAAAGGAAGAAGAGTGAGATCTGCGAAAGATGGATTTGAACTCTGGTCGACCGCATCATACGCTTCATCCACAAGCATCGCTCTCTACGACCTGCGCCACTGCAGACGCTGATTAACACTCTCCAACGAGATCAGATGAACATGACACCTGTGTGTTTATTCTCAGCATTTTATTTCCACTTTATTCTCGGAATATAATGAGTTTATTCTCAACAATTTATTTAGACTTTTTTTCTTGAAATGTAACGCGTTTTTTTCTCTAAACACGACTTTTTTCTCGTAATTTAATGAGTTTATTAAACATTTAATTTCGACTTTTTTTCTTGAAATTTAACGCGTTTTTTCTCTAAACACGACTTTTTTCTCGTAATTTAATGAGTTTATTCTCAACCTTTAATTTTGACCTTTTTTTCCTCTAAATTTAACAAGTTTTTTCTTGAAACACAACGACTTTTTTCTCGTAATTTAATGTTTATTCTCAACATTTTATTTCAAGCTTTTTTCACGAAATTTAACGAGTTTTTACTTGTAATATGAGTTTGTTCTCAACATTTTATTTAGACCTTTTTTTCTCGAAATTTAAAGATTTTTTTTCTCGAAACACAACGATTTTTTCTCGTAATATGAGTTTATTTTCAACAATTAATTTTTCTCAAAATTTAACGCGTTTTTTCTCGAAACACGACTTTTTTCTCGTAATATGAGTTTATTCTCAACATTTTATTTCAACTTTTTTTCTCGAAATGTAACAATTTTTTCCTCGAAACACAACGAATTGTTTCTCATAATATAATGAGTTTATTCTCAACATTTTTTTCAACTTTTTTCTCGAAATTTAACGAGTTTTTTTTCCGAAACACAACGGCTTTATTCTCGCAATTTAATGATTTAATTCTCAACATTTTATTTCGACATTTTTCTTGAAATTTAACAAGTATAATCTCGCATTATAATGACTTTAATCTCAAGATGTTTTTTTTTATTATTATTATTATTATTGCTTGGCCCTAATCCTCTTCCGTAGTTTCATCACTGTAATGTGTGTGCCAGTTAGTGTTGTTGAGATATAAAGTAAGTGCGGTTGTTTTACTTTTCGGGTTTTTTTTGGACTCGCAGCTCCACTGCAGCGTCCGATGTGCTCCGTGCTGCCTGCGGTGAGAGGAAGCCCAGAGCTGTGAAGTCCTGTCTGATCTGCGCTGCGTTCTACTCCGAGACCCACATCAGGCAACGCTACGCAGAACCAGCCATGCACACACTGGTGGAGGAGACTGGAGCTCTGGAGAAGGATTCACACCAACTAGTGGATGATGTCTTGCAGAGAGTCAAAGAGAAACACAAAACCAGCATGAAAGGGAAGTATGAGAGCTTATTTGAAGGAATCAAGCTACAAGAGAACCAAACCCTCCTGAACAGCATCTACACACAGCTCTACATCATCGAGGGAGAACGAGAAGGAGTGAATGAAGAGCATGAGGTTTTACAGATGGAGAAAACGCCCAGAACACAACACTCACAAGACACTCCAATCAACTGCAATGACATTTTTGATCCCTTACCTGAACCAGGCTATGAGAAGAATAACAGAATGAGGAAGGACAAAATCAAGACTGTTCTTACTAAAGGCATCGCTGGAATCGGAAAAACCGTCTCTGTGCAGAAGTTCATTCTGGACTGGGCCGAGGGAAAATCCAATCAGGATGTAGATTTCATGTTTGTGCTCACATTTCGAGAGCTGAACTTGATTCGAGATCATCAGTACAGTCTTCACAGACTTCTGCTGGACTTTCAACCTGGACTTCAAGATCTGGACCCAAAGGTATATGATCTATGTAAAGTTGTGTTCGTTTTTGACGGTCTGGATGAAAGCAGAATTAAACTTGAGTTTTCAGACGATCAGAAAGTGTCTGATGTGACTGAGACTTCATCATTGGGTGTGTTGATGTCAAAGCTCATCAAAGGGGATCTGCTTCCATCTGCTCTCATCTGGATCACCTCCAGACCAGCAGCAGCCAATCAGATCCCCTCCAAATACATCCACCGTCTGACAGAAATTCAGGGATTCAGTGACCCTCAAAAGGAGGAGTATTTCAGGAAGAGAATCAGTGACCAGCATCAAGCCAGCAGAGTCATCTCACACATTAAAGCAGCAAGAAGTCTCCACATCATGTGCTACATCCCAGTCTTCTGTTGGATCTCAGCCACTGTGCTTCAGAGCATCACGAAACAAGATCACTGTGCGGAAGTCCCCAAAACTCTGACTGAAATGTACATACACTTCTTGATTATTCAGACAAATGTAAGAAATCAGAAGTATGATGAGAAAGACGAGAGAGATCCACGGAAGCTCCTGCAGTCAAACAGGGGAGTGATTGTGAAGCTTTCCGAACTGGCTTTCAAACAACTGATGCGTGGAAATATCATGTTCTATGATGAGGACCTGAGAGAGTGTGGCATAGACGTCACTGAGGCCTCGGTGTATTCTGGGATTTGCACTGAGATCTTTAAGGAAGAATATGTGATTTATCGGAGGAAAGTCTACTGCTTCATACACCTGAGCTTTCAGGAGTTTCTTGCAGCCTTTTATGTCTTTTACTCCTATGTAAGTACCACTTCTGATGCCTTGAAAGTTTTTGATTTACTTCATAATTTGCATAAAGGAGTACTGGATAAAGCTGTAAAGAACGAGAATGGACGCATGGATCTTTTCGTCCGGTTCCTGCTGGGCATCTCACTGGAGTCCAATCAGAGACTGTTACAGGGGCTACTGACACACACAGAGAACAGCTCGGAGAGCATCAAGGAAACCATAAAGTACATCAAGGACAAAATCAAAGAATGGAAAAACACTCTTTCAGCTGAAAGATCCATCAATCTGTTCCTCTGTCTGCTTGAAATGAACGATCAGACTCTGCAAAGAGAGATTCTGGAGTTTCTGAAATCAGACGAACACTCAGAAAAAGAACTGTCTGCTGCGCACTGCTCAGCCATAGCCTACATACTTCAGATATCAGAGGAGGCACTGGATGAGCTGGACCTTAAGGAATACAACACATCAGAGGAAGGTAGAAGGAGACTGATACCAGCTGTGAGAAACTGCAGAAAAGCTGTGTGAGTACACATTTCTACGAGAGTCACATTTTGTGATGTCAGTGCAATTAATAATGTGACACTTGAGTCCTGAGATATTATATGTGACCCTGGAGCACGAAAGCAGTCATAAGTCGCTGGGGGATATTTGTAGCAATAGCCAAAAATACATTGTATGGGTCAAAATTATAGATTTTTCTTTATAAAATTGACCCTTATGACTGGTTTTGTCGTCCAGGGTCACATATTGCTTAACACAACTTTTGGTGTAAGTAGCTTGCCTTTTAGTAACATGAGAAGTGCTGCATAACAGTTTCGAAATCACTTAGAAAAGTGCAAGTTAAAGGGGTCAAATATGATGCGATTTCAAGTTTTCCTTTCTCTTTGGAGTGTTACAAGCTGTTCGTGCATAAAGAAGATCTGTAAAGTTGCAAAGACTAAAGTCTCAAATCAAAAGAGATATTCTTTA